ACGCAGCGACACCATTTGCTTGCTACCTTTATGATAGCACACCAAATCTACATCCATGGTGGCTGGCAAGCGAGAAAGAGGCAAATGGGTTCCTGCTGTGGCTGTGACCTTTGGTTGGATTCAGACAAGCGACCTCCATGATAGAAGACCATCACTGTAGCTAGACCAACCCAGGGTAAGACCTCCTCTATCCTGGTAGAGCTCATCATGATGTCAGGACGCATCCATGCTCATCACCCTCCCAGTGTGGCCTGACATTCTGTCAAACCTCACATTTTCTCACCCATCTGGAAAAATGTCAAGCTTCTTTTAAAGTCCAAAAGTGTTATCATCACAGACGCTGCTGGACATGTTCACGGGCAGTTGTCAACAATTCCATCTTTTCCTAAGCTTTTAAGTCTTGATAGTATCTGCTGAAAAAATACTCTGCACCCACAAATATCAATTGTAACCCCTCCTTCTTGGATGTGAGGTTAAACAAGCCTTGAACCACTTAATCCAGAATGATGCATCAAAGTTATCAAATGTTGGTACCAAAATAGACAGATATCAGTTAAAATCAAAAGATCTTAACATCATTTACATTTGTGTCACCATCTCAAAATAACTAATCTTCGTATGTGATCATGCAAGCATTAATTATCCTGCATCTAAGGCTGCTATTTTTACTGCTGTTCCACTTTTCCAGACATCTCAGTCCTCTGATCCTTACCCTGCTCTGGCAGCAAACAAGCCTCAAGCCTCCAGTCTCTAGCTTTACCACTTTGAAATTCAGAGCTTGTCTAAGGCCTTTTTGGAACAGTGCCCAAATGCCCTTGTCCTTTAGAAATCTTCAAGTTCAGTCTGAACAACACAACCATGAAATCTGCACTTGAATGTCTAACCAAGCCTGGGGAATGAGGCTGACTCCATCAATCGGACCATTACAAAGAAAGCTGAACCATGGATTGTCGTCCTAGCAGCTAATGAATGTGTTTGTTTTCTTAACCAAAGTGAATTTTGTTGTGAGTATTTTTTGCAAACATCTGTTGATTTAAAATTAGACCATGATCTTTTCCTGTGTAGTAGAGAAGGTATGAAAAATGAGTTTTATCTGAAAGCTGATAACGAGGTTATGAAGTGCCGTATTTCCTCAATCAGCTTAAACTGGTTAAGATAAGAAAATTAAATACAAGTCAATCTATTTCACTATCAGGACATTGAACTAAGGAAGAGGACGCAGGATCTAGAATCTACTCTTCTATACATCATAGAAGATCAATGAACACTTCATATGCTGATATCAATTACTTGCTGATAATATCTAACAAAAAATACATTTATCATAGAATTCATTGTTCATGTATGAACACTAAATTATTTTCCAATTTAAACAAACAAAAAATTAAGTTTTTTACAAAGAACCTTTTTTTCTAATTGAGCTATTTTTTGTGTGAACATCACAAAAACATTAAATAAATATTTGGGATAGTTTGCATATATGTTAAAACGGGATTGCAGAGAAACAAAAAAATTAAGTTTTTTACAAAGAACTTTTTTTTCTAATTGAGCTATTTTTGTGTGTGAACATCACAAAAACAGTAGGTAAATATTTGGGATAGTTTGCATATATGTTAAAACAGGATTGCAGAGAAAATATTCTTTATCCTGCATGTAGTTGTGATGATATAATCCTTTATCAACTTGATACTAACAACTACAGTCCTGAGTGAAATGCATGATAACAGATCAAGAAATGAAAATGATCTGAGGAATTATCGGGGCAGGGCGTCACATACATATGATACGTTCATGATCAGCGTGGCCCATTGATAGAGGCATTCGGTGTGTTATATTATCATGTACATGTCACCTCTATGATGTATTCACCAACGAGTAGACAGCTTCTGACAAAAGTCTATTGTTTTAGATAGGTGATTGATAGGTTGAGGTGACAACAAAGTGAGATGTTAATGATAAGACAAATTGAACTGTGGACACAGCAGTCATTGCAGGCTTTGGAAAAGCTTTGAAAATCCAATACGATTTACAATCCATTTCATATTCTTGAATGATTTCATAGCTTTTTTTGGTCATTTAAACTGACAAATAACCTCTTCAGGTGTGATCGATTATGAGCAGGGTTTGAAATCAACACAAGTTTGCTAGTTCAAGCTAGTAAAATCACAGACCTAATTATTTAGGTCTGTGGTAAAATTCAGGCAGGACAAGTAATATTTCCTTATTGACTGGCACTTTTACCATTACGTAGACTGAAACTCTGCTGTTTGTGTTCGCGGACTAGTGAAAATAAAAATTAATTTCTAACCCTGAGGAATTATATCCTGTTAACACTGAGCTACAGATAAGCTGCCTATTTGCGTAAAATGCCCGCCAAAACTATTCAAAACCCAATTGCTTTCAATTAACTTGCATTGAAAAACGCATGCATTAAATGAAAAACTCAATTGTTTAAAAACATCACACCGTTTATACCCAATGAAGTTTTTTAAGCATGCATACAACAGAGCTAATTTCGGAAACACAATTACGAGCTAATTTACTTTCCGTGTCAAGCCTATATTTAAAACTATTATATACATCTAAAACATTATTTCATTTTTTTTAAATCTCAAAAGGCTTACTCATTTTTGGAAAAACCCAATAGAGTGATGAATAGATGTGTGAAAAAATATTGTTTACCCAATGACAAATGTAAAAACCCAATTAAAATAGAAACCCTGGAGTAAAAACTCAATTGCTCAAAAAGTTATCTGGAGCTCGGAATGACCATGATGTGACACTGGGGATAAATGTACTTTGGCACGAGGAGGACCAACAAACACATGGAACATGATCATGAATGTGCAATTCACAAATAAAATATGACCCAATTAAAATAGAAACCTCAAAACATTATCTGGAGTTCTGTTAGCAGACTTAGAGCCGTCAGTATACTAATCAAAAGACAATGAAAATGTGAAGGAATATCTGTTTTCCCTTCCCCCAAAACGTAGTTGTGTTGTGAGGTGAAATGGGTTATAAAGTCACGTTCAAGATTATTGCATTTTATGGCAACGTGTACGCGTGTGGCAGGGGATGTTTCTTCTAGGCCAGACAAATGAGTGTTTTATAGTGCTAGCTCATTGAGATACCATGCTACAGTTTAACATGGATACCCCACTCATACACAGTATACAGACTCGGAGTCGACCAGTCCTTGCTTTAGCCCCTTAGTGGCGAGTGTCAGCAACAAGTACATCTTTGGTTGTAGTTATGTTACGTAAGCCTGTAGACTGAAATGAACTGAGGACTAGTTGGGTATAACTCATGGCGTCTATCACTAGCTTGAGGCTGAATTCGTGATTCAGAAATTCAGAAATATTACAAGGGTCCATTGCAGTGGTGTTCCGACAAATCGATTTCACAGACTATCGATTAGTTTCCGTTTCCAACCGAGGTGAGGTGAAATGGGGTTTAACGCATTTATATAGCGACATGCATGCACGTGTGTGTGTGTTTGGCTGCTTGTACTAGACTAGATTTATAGTGCTAGCTCACTGAGATACCATGCCACAGTTTAACATGAATACCCCACTCAGACACAGTATACCGACTCTGAGCCGACCAGTCCTTGTTTTAGCCCCTTAATGCCGAGCGCCAGACAGGGTAACATCAGGTACCATCTTTTAACGTCTTTTGGTATGACGCGGTCGGGGATCGAACTCCAGACCCTCCGCTCTCTGGGCGGACGCTCTACCGCTAGACCAGGGAGGCAGTCTCCAACCAAGGAACTGATCATGACACATGTGACTGATTGTTTTCAAATTATACATGTTCAACAAATAAAAGGGGATTACATTAAGTATAACAGGTCAAAAAACACAAAGTCTTATACGCAGGCCGGTTACAGTGTTTATAAGTCGATGTGTTTGTGTTGCGGAGTATTGCAAAACAACAGCCTCAGCCTTTATACAAAGACAAAACTAATACTGAAATCCTTTTATGAAAGTTATCCTGATCTTAGCCAATATTTTCAATCTATCAGTAACACTTATATACTTAAACAAAAACAGTCAGGAGCATGAATATTTTTGGGGATGTTTTTTTTAATTGCGTGCTCAGTCTTCACTAGTAAAATATCCCCCAAAACTATTTATGATCCCTAACTTTTATTGTTCAGCATATGTTCATAGTTGCCAGTGTCAGGAACATCCTTATAATTATCAAGGGGTGCACGGGTGGCCCAGTTGTGCAGAGTTGCGTCCCTTGGGCACGCCAGAAACCAATGATTGTGGGTTCGAATCCTGGTTTGCCCCAATTATGTTTCTAGGTTTGTCAGCACCATACCCGGTGGGTTTCAGCGAAGTGGTAAACGTCTGAGGCCTGCATCACTTCGGGCTTTCCTCCCACATCAAGCTGACACACCATGATATAACTGGAATACTGTTAAAAGCGGCGTTAAACCCAACTCACTCACTATAATTATCAATGGCAGTCCGAGTATGTTTTCCATAAAAGCAAAGGTCAGTATAGGTCCCTTATACCTCATCAATCGATGCCAAAATGTGTTAAGACTACAAGCCCGAAACTTGGCTCCAAACAACATTTTCAGTAGAATTTAGTGTTATGTGGACTATCATAGCTGAGCTTACTAAACCTAAAAGAATTTTACTTGACTCTGGCTTTGGACTAATGGCTAATCCTTTTCATAACTCACTAAAACAAGGAACAGATCATTGGTTTGCCTGGTCCATACACAACTACTAGCAGACAACCATGATAAAATTCAGCAAGTGAGTGAGTGAGTATGGCTTAACACTGCTTTTAGCAATATTCCAGCAATATCACGGCGGGGGGCACCAGAAAAGGGCTTCACACATTGTACCCATGTGAGGAATCGAACCCGGGTCTTCGGCGTGATGAGCTGAAACTTTAACCACCAGGTTACCCCACCGGCTGATAAAATTCAGCAAAAGCAGGAATATCACTCGAACTCCATGTATAAGATTCCAACTTACGTCTTGGACACTCTTCGGTAACCGACTCCAGAAAGTCCTGAGGTGTCATATAGATGTTTCCCTGATATTCCACAGAGGCAAACTGACGAAAACGCATCTCACGGTGCGTGACCCTCTCTTTCGGTGGTTCATCTTTCTGTAATCAAAATATAAGTATAACAGTTATAATATTGTTGTGTCTTGCAAAGAAAAAGACAAAATCTCAAGCTTTTTGTCTTGCAGGTTACTTTTTGTGTTTATATCTAGCATATATTTTAAGATTCATAATTTCATATATTTTCTCAGGCAAGTAGTTTATTGCATTGTTCATGGTTTTACGTCAGTAGAGATATCTTCAGTCTTTTAAATCATTTGTTTTACAAGCTCTACATCTTCCCATGGCAAGAGAGTTAACTGACTTTAAAAGTCCTGTTTCCACCCTTGATGAACAAGGCTGGAATTCCTGGGCTCAATCGTAGGGCCATCAGTGGCTATTACGAGTTATGTCCCTTCTATGCCTCTCCTATGGACCAATCAGATTCCACCTCTTGTATCACTTGCATTTGCTTCAAACAAAATGGTGGTGCCAAGTCAAGACGATCTGATCGATAATCAAGATCTATACTGAGATCAAACGGGTCTTACATCACAAAGTGCATCAAATCATATGAGCACCTTGATAAAAAACATGAAAAATTTGAAAAAAATCTGTTGCGAACGAGATTGCAGTGCACATGCTTTGCAAATCCTGCAATCGACCAAAATCTGCATGACAGTTGACAAACCAAATTTTGATTTCATTGCGCGATTTTGATTGGACTACGCATAGACTCGTTAGTCCAGCCAAAATGTAACTCCATAATACCAGCCTAGTCGGCAAGGGTGGAAACTGGACATTAATAGTCAGTTAACTCTCTTGCCTCGGGAAGATGCAAGCTCTATAGGTCACGTACCCTTTGAAAAAGACAACAATATTTCTCTGACTTCTTACAGAAATTCTGGCCATTAATTGCATAGGAATTACAATGCCATTTAAGACAATTACTTATATATATCCCCATATATACAGCAGATGAATGTGATTTTATAATTTAGAGGGTGCTTTACAATGGTATAAAGAAGTTGTTATCCATAAATTGTGTCTACTTGGTCATCTGTCAACTTCTAAGTAATGCCTATCAAACAATTCAACATTAATACTATTTACTTTCTTATATTGTATATGATAATCTTGGATCTCATTCATGTACAACCCAGCCACAGAAAATAAATTCACAGAAATAAAACTATGACATCAAATGTCATGTTTGCTTAAATGAATAAGTGTAAAATTTTGAATGGTCATGACAATCACATCAGACCTGAAAGAGGCTATTAAAAGGGATTATTCAATTAACAGGCAATTAACTGGTAGCTTTTTAATTGCATTCATCTCTGAATGAAAGGTCTGTTCACACCTGACTGAATAAAAGTCAATCAATTCAAGAAGGGGATTTCAAACTGTTTGTTTAGCGTGAAAGATTGGCTAAAATGTTATTTTAACAATAAAAGGAACACAATGATTTAATACTTGTTAATTGGCAATAAGTAAAATGCCCTAATTAATCAGCCACTTTAACATCGTGATTAATCAAAAGGACTTGGCGATTCTCTTTCACACCTTTTCAAAGTAATTAACAAGGAGACAGGAGTTTGTTCCATGGGCTACTGAAAATCTTAGCATTTGTTTGATAACATCAGCTTTGTTTAGAAAAGACTGTTTGCTCAACGTCCATTCTTTTACTTTCAAGGTTAGCAAAAACAAATGTAACTTAAGATTGCCAAATCATGGATATCCATTGAGTCTTGTAAAATCTAGACACTAACTTAACATTCATAATGCAATGAAAGTAATTTAGGTGCAAGTGTAATGCTTCATGTTAACCTTGAGAATCAAGGAAACACCCTGTGTTCATAATTTGATATTTAGAGTTGGAAATACACACACAGTTAATAAGTTTTGATAGCTCATTAATTCTAAAAACGTTATGTGATATTATTGTTTTGGAGACATTATGCTAAAGTAGTTATGAAGACTGTAACTGATACGAGGAACCCAAACCCCATTTGATCCCTATCAATGTGTGGCCCTTGCTGCCGAAAAAAAAAACAGAAGAAAAAGAATCTAAACAGTAATTTCAAGTCGCCGGCAATTCTCATTCCCACACAGGCGTCATTATCATCTGAATTAAAAGTGTTTTGAAATATGTTTGTAATCCATTCCTAACATATATATGAGTCTTACATCAAGAGTTCATGCACTGCGGTCTGTCAGTCACAAATTTTATGAAGGAGAAGAACTGGCCACTTGTTCCTGTCTATCCAATGTAATTACAATTTAAACCAATAAAGGTGTGGTTTAAGATGAGTTTCTATGGTTGTGGCTTACAGAGAAAATAGCTCAAACATTCACCCGTGTTGGAAAAAATAGCTCAAGATTAATGACCCCAAACACAAAAAGGATATTACATTTCATGCAATGCTGTTAAATCCATCAACCCAAGTCAGTATGCTGATACAGTAAAAGAAAAGAACTAGCAAAGCAGGCTGAGTTTCCAAACAATAGAACTGGGACACATGCAGAAACAATGTTTTAACTTCTTTTAATCCCTACATATCAACATCAATTGACTCAATTTTGTCTACAAGACTATTATAACTATTACATGAACAATGTGACCTTTAGTGAGGAAAAAACCCATATTTGTCATTCTAATGAATGATTTAGCTTTCAGTTTGAATTACATATATTTCTTTGCTACACAATGTTATCAGTTAATGATGTCTCACAATCACAGACTAATTATACAATCAGCTGTGCTATAAACGCGTTATCACCATACAAGGCAAATGGTTTCAAGGGAGATAACTGTGATTTACATAATATCCAGCCACAGCTGTCGAAAAAGGGGAAGCTAACGACTCATCCCATATAATAGCACAATAGGGCACACAATCAACTTATTGCAAACTATGTATTATGAACTTTAAAATGATGGGATGACGATGTCATTTCGAAATCAGGACCGGCACAGACACAATTGAACGACTTTCCGACAGGACGAAACAAGTCAGTCTCAATGTTTACAAAAGCAACTGTAATAAAAACACTGCAACCCGACACCTGTGGGGTTATACATCCACATTGGCGCCATTATCTGAGCTTTAATGAGCATACTGAAACGAAATCAACTCTAATCTAGTGTTATGTTCATATGCACTGTGTATGAAAGGCGAAAGCTGAAAGTATGCGAGAGGAATTCATATGACACCCTCACCTCCGTTTCACGAGCGTGAACCACTGGGACGATGGCTTGTCCTTGTTTATAAAACCAATGTATTGCTAAGGTGCAACCACTGGCTGCTGCTATCATGTACAAACTCCTCCTTGGAATTGGTTGTTTAGTAAATATGCCCTCCTTCCATAATATAGGACGCAAACTCCTCAGTAAGTCCCTGCATCTTCTCACAGCAGCCATTTTGCTCCCTGACGCACATGCGCAGAGAACAGCCTAAGCCACTACGATCATTGTATCATGAAACATCGGACAGTAAACAGTGCTAGGAACGATGAGCTATCAAACGGTAATTATCTTTTAATTTCATTTGTTGATCATTATTTCAGTGACATGCGACTTACTTACCACCACTCTTGCTGATATGCCACGCTTTTTTCTTTGCATTATGTCAATTCTTAATAGATCAATCGGAACACTGAAGATAGTATATTCGTTTAGTGTCAGATTATACTGCATTGATAACTTATATTATTTTGCGTGTATGTCATTTCAAACTGTTTGACATTTGAGATTGTCGCTGTGACAATTCATATTAAACACGAGGAAATATAGTTCTCCATAGTGACATTTATTTGATTCGTAGTTACAGTGAATTCCACACTTGAAAATTGGAATTAAGTTTAGTGACGAAAATGTTTCATGGATGATCACGACATATAGTTTCAATATACAGCAAGGAAGGGAAAACACAGGTAGATCTGTGGGTTATCTTGCAGTAACTTATTTCAACAAACCGGTCCGTTCGATAAGTGGGTTGCCCTTTATCATGTGCCCGTGTACTTGTCAGAGTATATACTGGTGCATATATATATAGGCTTGTGTAAACTGAGTCGGTAAGAGAGCAGAGGGTTGGAAAACTTTTATAATTACATGAAAAATGCTTAACTCCTATGCGGTGGTCTCCAAGTAAATCGCACGTAAACTAACTGCAGCTTCACATGAGATCGACCATTTTCATTACCACGCCTCATTAAATGTTTTGATGGGACTTTAGTATATGCATCGTGTGTGTTAGGTTTGCGAGATGTTCGCTTAAAGCATTGGTATCATTCTTCCTTGGTACGCGTCTCCTGTGAAAAAACCCTGGTTATTTCTCCAGCGGCGCTGCGTTTACACCGGTTCCAATAGAATAGTCTCCGAGTCGTCTCAAGTCCCGCCTCTGTTTATACCCCTCGTGCACTGTAAGGCTCTTGTAACCACCGGGCTGGTTCATTCATGAAGTGCTCGTGTGTGGTTATACCGACAAATCACCGGAATGCGTTAATCCAGTTACTGAATCGATGATAAATCACTCTAAATAGATAACGCTTATCACATTTGATTGTATTCCCGTGTCCTTGATTTTTTATCTCACAGTAAGCTGTGAAACAAATTACCGTTTTACGTACCATTTAGCAATAATTAACGCACTGACTATGTGTTTTCCGAATTCGCATTTAATCATGTTTGCAACGGTGCACACAATTCAAATTTGTAACTGGGATTCTAAAGATATGTATCTAGCAGCCGAGGGAATATTAGATGTGTTCAAGGACTAATTGATTGTTTTATTAATGAAAGGGTAGAATGTGGGAGCGCTGTTGATTTCAATGCACTGACCAGTGTCTTTCACATGCGCCTATGAGTGACCAACTGTCATTGGCTTTCGCCCCCTCATCACCCACCCACACACGCCAGTGGTGGTACTTGACGGTGGTTCTATAGGGGTAGGGAGCGGACTCATTCTCAGGTGTGGCCCCCATCTCGACTCTGTCTTTGTCTGTAGCTCCAGCAGAGCGCTTGAGATCGCTAACTGAGACGCATCCCACAGAGGCCAGTGACTGATTTTTATAATGTACACTACGTGTAAGTACAATCGTGAAGGAAATACACGGATAGTTTGTTTATAACTTGAAATAACTATATCCCGCTGAGAAAATGATCGAATTTGTCAATCAAAATCATGTCTAGACAGGTTAAAGCTTTAAATGTCTCTTTTCTCCTCTTCCAAATAAAATTAAATTTTAATACTCTTTTGTAATCGCTCTAACGCATTTATTGTCCTTGCAATTCGTCATTGTTTTTAACATCTGAAGAAACGTCAGTTTAAAAGCATTAGTTAAATGTAGTTAAAGTGAAAACTATTTAAGAAAAGGGGATACACAAACAAAAGCAATGACGATGTGAATTAGTGCTTTTACAACCACTCAGTCGACAGCTTTGTTAACTTTTGTGATTGAAAATTTCATGCCTGTGTGAACACGTGTGGAGGGCTGCTGTTCGGCCAGGATGAGACAGTTCACATTCAGGCATGAGCACTGCTAATGGTGTCAGCTATAGGCTGTCTGGCTATCGGAGATCCCTATTAGGCTGTGGATGCCATCTGTAGAGTGTTCTTCTCTGCTTGTATGGTCGCCAATAGTACAACTGTTTTACAACAAACCCTCATGTCTCCGGTGTTCCAACTCACACCACGAACGTCCTCATGAGATCACGGTTCTACGGACTGTATTGTGAGCGATGTAAATCCGTTATGTCTTTAAGTCAGCGGCGTGTATGTACAATGCAGGTGGGTTCAACACTTTTGTTGGTAAAACGTTCAAGTTTTAAATTCTTGGAACCATTTATTGGTGTCCAATAGTGTTGTAGTGATGGTTCCTGCTCGATCTTTCCGACGTTTACACAACCCACAGTGGCAGTTTTTAACTCTGTCAGCTGTTAAAGAATCATTAGGTTGGTATGACGGTTAATCATCTCTGATAGGTTTTTAGCAGATTTAACGCACGCCTGTTCCTATTTCAGATCGTCGACAGAGCACAGTGGCCCTAGTTGTGTATAAGAAGTTCTCATGGGTGCAATATTGGTAGACGTGGACCAAGAAACCAAGGGAGAGATATCCCACATGGCGGATCCAAGTGACCGGCCATGTTATAAATGTGTTATCCTCTGGGGAATGCTTGGACCAGTAAAGGAGTGTTACCAAATTTCAACAACGAAACGGATCCGCTCGGGACCAAAGCGGTGTTTGTGAAGACTTACCTTGACGGTTGTCAGTTGTGGATTACATTTGTGTGGTGTTATACAGCTTTTATTTATTTATATATATATGAATGTTCAAAGTATTCATCTGGTGGATATACCCTGTCATGTGAGCGCTACATTACAGATTCTGGAAAGGAGCTCGCTGAAGAGCTTTGCTCCATCCGACGTACCTAACTTTGATTCACGCACGCGAAGTGCATGGGATTCGGTTGTTTGCCGAGGCAATGAACTCCTTGTGTTTTTATGTTTTCATTGTTTGTTGTATGGTTGTCACAGAACAGAGCGGAACTGCATATACAAAGCCTAAACTTTCCGAACCCCCTATGCCAAATTCACATCCTAGGTATTGGCAGGATTCTGTGAGACAATTACACCTGCAGAGCAAAAACAATTGGCATATTGCGATTACGAAGGATGGACATGTGTCTGGAAGTCGAGAGAAAGGAGAATCAGGTTAGTGGTGTTTATAAATCAACATTTTGTTACTTTTGACTATCATGTGGTCGCTTACATAAACGAAATGCCACCCGTCTCTGTTTATTCGCCGATAGTGATAAAAGAATAGGAAGTAGTCTTGATCTCTGTCTAACACCACGTCAGAATGTTATTGATGAGTTGCCCTACAAACACATCAAACCCGTTCGTCATAACACTCGTCTCTACGATTAATTTATATCACCCCCCCAAAAAAAACTATGTCAACGGCGATGGTATATACGCCTTTTACAACATGATCTACACGTTTCACTCACGTCGGGGTTAAAATCATTGTTATATCATAGTTTGGCAGGCCGGCAAATTCCTCCCTGATCGTCTAGTACATGTATAAAAAGTCTCAGTGGTTATGCTCTCCTTAAATTCCAATTTTATTTTGATCTGCCGAATAAGTTGCGAGTATGCTACCAGTTGTACATGTTTCTGCGGTGATAACGATGACTGGCATCTCACGAGAGTGTGTTTCGCGCACTGGTCGTTCCAAAAACTGTAGTTGCATGCGCTTAGAGCTGCAAGGATGGCCCACGTGTGTTCAACATGTCCCAAGATAGGCAGGCGGCCTAGCCTCTCTTGGTGCACCGTTAATCAGTCTCATTTTTATTTCATCTCTCGTGGCTGATTTAATCTTTGACCTACAGAGATGCGAATGACTTGGGTAAACACATGTTGAATGTATTGGACGCATCACATAGTTCATTGTTGCAATGTGATATTCATAATGTATGTAATTATAACCTGCTAGGATTTACATGTGCTAGACAGTCATTGGTTACCCACCGGTAGGTGATACTCATGGTATATCATATAGCCACTGACATGCTTAAATATCGCGAACTAGCTTCAGTAGTTAAGGTCGCTCATTTTACTAAAATTCATCTCAAACTTCTATACTAAACATGTCTTTCCGATCAAAGCAATCATTCATATTTTACGAACTAGTTTTATATCTTTACGCTTTGTCATGCACCTATACCTTTTCCATTGTTTGACGGACACTTATTTAGGTTGTATCCCTATGGGTCCGTAACGGACCAGTGACTCACCTACGAGTAAGGGCACGCAGTGCTGTTCGTTAATAGGAGTAAATGATGTACGTTTGTGAGCTCTACCCCCTGTATAACCGCATTGTGTAATGCATGACAATTTCACTTACAAATAGTTCAATGAACTTAAGGGACCGGGACATACCGCACATAATCGTTCGGTCGTTTTTAATACACGATACGTGCAGCGTGAAGTGCCTAAGCATTTCAACAACTTGAGACCAAGCCAACGTCATACTATTCTTTGAATCCTAAGCGTTTAATATAGACCGGGTGGACTGGCGTGTACTCGTTTGGTCACACCTAAGTGCAGTGTAAGGCTAATTTTCCAAGTGGGTGGTACACCTGTATTTAAGAACTATCTTCCCTCTATCGGTAAGCTAATTACCGGTGATACCATGATTCGTGCCCATGCTTATAACGTACAAACCCACGTCTCGGTACCATTTTCAAGAGTACTGTGTACCATGGGGCCTTTGTTTGGTCCTATGTACTATATCCCGATTCTCTCCATACATCATGGTCATGGGCCAAGCCAGCGCCTCATATTGTTTAGGGGCTTTAAGCTACTAACTGCCCGACGAGCCCTTTAATGTCAGTGGGGCTTCTTGTACCGTACTGGCGACCACCTTTGTCAAAGAGCGATCGTGCG